TTATATTATTGAATTAAATTTATTATTATATTATTATTTTTTATGATTATTTATTAAATTATAATTTATGATTTTGTGTTTCAAATTTTATCCTACCTGGGATGTTTACTAGACTCTTGTTTGGGCAGATTTCAGTGAGTTATTCCTAAAAATTACAGCCTACAATAAAAAACTACATATTTCCATGCAAAAAAATGGTACCGCTTTCAGCACAAAAAAAATCGGAAATAAATCAGACCGCCGAGGAGGTTAAGTATCGTGAAACAGGCCAACGTGTTTTAGCGATTCAGAGGTCTCCATCTTCAGGGCTGGTTTGGAATGAAGCCAAGGCATACTGGGGGAATTTAATACAATTGCTGCACCACTTATCTGGTATTAATTGCTCTAGTTAATTTAAAAAACATCTGTGACAGTTTTATTTCTGACAGCTACCAAATTCAGGTATTTCTAATTTGCTCCACTTCTATATTGTGGCACAACGCCGGTACCATATTTCGAATAAAATACAGACATTTCATATCGTATGAAAATGGAGCTACTTAAGTCCAACTTTCTTTTGGTGTACAGAGACAGATTTTGCAAAATTATCACACGTGTTCTAAAAGTGGTGCAGCACACATCAAATTCAAGTACAAGTTTTAGACAGGTGCATGCTGGACATAGTCATAAAATCTGTCTGTGTCAGTCTTTATGAATTCAAAGCACTGTGTGTTCTGAGCTCAGTGCATATGTAGCACCTGCCTAGGTAGCTAGGGGGAGCTAGCTCAGGTTTTTCAGCTAGGAAGGCTTGAAGAGCAGCTATTTTAGGTCAGGGCTGAGAGACTCTGCAGGTCAGTGCCCTGATACCTACGCTGGATTATTGGAGAAGATTTTAGAAGTAATGGGCGGGGGTGAGGAGGTGCTAACCTGCACACTTAGGAGATCCTGGCCAATCCTTGAGCAGGAGGCTTGGCATGGAGCCAGGGCAGCCTTTAAGTGTGCTAGAGCCTGCTCAGCAGCAGAAGAGTTTGGGTGGAAGATGTCAGGAAGGCTGCGATGCAGGAGCCTGGGAGGGGGCCCAGTGGAAAGAGGCCTACCTATAGGCTGGGACTTGGACAGGAGGATTAGCTCCTTAGCAGAACTGTTTCATCTGAAAGTAGCAGGCACTGGATCCCCTTGCCCAGGGATTTCTCCAGACAGCTGGATAGAGAAGAACTATCAGGGGTTTGGGGTGGTACACCAGTAGAGGCTGGAGAGAGTTCCCCAGGAAGTGAAATCCTTCTATGGACTTGCACATTGTTGCTAAGGAGTTTCTCCTCAGTTTAAGGTTCCTTGGGCATCCCATACACCCAGGGGCAGACTGACAACTCATGGGGCCCCCGGGCAATAGGGAATCATGGGGCCCCTGTGTGTCCTAGCCCAAACTCAAAAAAGCCTATGAAAAAAGTACCAGGGGCATCTCATGGGGCCCCCTACTGACCCTGGGCCCTCGGGCAGTGCCCGAGTTTCCAAATGGTCTGTCTGCCCCTGCATACACCCCTACTCCATCCAAGTTCAATACCCCTAATAAAACTAAAAAAAAACAAAACAAAGCAACTCAATAACTGTTTACTGCCTCCTGTGAGCAATATCGGAAGGAAATGCGTGTTGCCTGACTGTACAGGACTATAGGTGGCCCAAAAACTCAACAACTCCTAAGGTGGTAGTGCTACACATGTATCAGCCTGCATAATGGCACAGAACATTATACAAAAAACTATGCACTGGGGCAGCAATCCAGCAGCTGGGTTTGCATGTGTTAAACCAGAAAGTCCTGAAGAAAGTGGATTTGATGAATCCTCTGAAACATGTTGGCCTGCTTCATGATATTTTAACAAATTAAAGAAAAACTGCGGCACCACCTGCCTGGAGTTTGCATGTTCTCCCTGTGCCTATGTGGGTTTCCTCCAGGTACTCCGGTTTCCTCCCACACTTCAAAGACATGCTGGTAGGTTAATTGGATCCTATCTAAATTGGCCCTAATATGTGTATGTATGAATGTAAGTTAGGGATCTTAGATTGTATGCCCCTTGAGGGTTAGGGACTGATGTGCATGTACAATATATATGTTATGCACTGCTTAAATTGATGGTACTACATAAGTACCTGCAATAATATTATAATAATAATAATAATAATAATTTTAGACTAAAGGTTTCTACAAATAAAGAATAAAAACCACTAAGGGATCTTTCACAATGGTGTTACATTTTAACACAGAGTTGAATGAGCCCTAACATACAGTACCTATAGCATTAACACGTGTTGGGGCATGTTTGACATAGGTTAAGGTGCATTGACCATGTTTGGTGAGGAACAACCAATATAAGGCATCCATTTCTCATTTGAGCACTAAGGTGGATGTATTTCCATTTTTTTGAATTACAGTCAGTCAACATATTTAATATGGCACACAAGAAAACAGGAAGACATACACTAAGAGATTTATATCATGTTTTAACTGTAATATAGGGGTTGAACAATCTAATGACCATGCACTGTCCTTGTCACAACACTGTAAAGAAAGTAAATTCCATACATTGGAAGATTGCAGTTAGGAAGTCATGTAGCTGATGATAGAGGATAGGGTGGCACTAGGAGGGTGTTTGAGTATGCTGAAGTGCCTACAAAATGATTACAGTTGCCCCATAGCACCCCCATCAATGCATAGTTAGGATCTAACATTCATGCTACTTATCAGAATTTCACCTGTCATTTTGTCACGATCAGGGGTCAGGCTCGAAGGCCAGTTGCTATAGCAGTGGAAAGGCTCACCTTAAACCAGCAGGATAGGTACACAGGCAGGTCACCGTAGCGGAGGAGTGGGATCACCCGAGGTTCGGAGTCTAAGTACCAACCGGTGTTCACCAGAGCTCCTGATGGTGGAGATGGATTTTGCAGCGTGTTAGCACCAGGTCGCGGTCCTCGGGATCACCCCACCAGGAGGTGAGCAAGCGGAGGTCCAGTAGCATATAAGCAGGTGAGGATCAAACGGAAGCGTGGTCAGTAAACAAGCCAAGGTCGGTAAGGAGCAGTCGCAGGTTGGGATCAGGCAGAAGCGTAGTTGAGAACAAGCCAAGGGTCAATAACGAGAGATAGCAAAATATGGATAAAAACAGGGAAGACAAGGAGCAAGATACTGGCTGGAGAGCACAATAATCTGGCAAACAGGAAGTGCAGAGGCATGGCTTATTACAGGAAGTTCATGGGAGGAGCAAGGGGTTCAAGGTTCATGACAAACAAGGTCAAGGTAGGATCATCCAAATAATTGTCAAGGGAGCTGTCCAGCGTTCCAGGTGGCTTAGCAAGAAGAAACATTGCCACTCACCGCAGTCTTTAAAATGTATGATTACAAAAAGCAATACTTAGAGGGGAATTGTTGCTGTCTGTGGAGAGATACTGAGGCTCCTGGCCGCTGTTCACACAATACTTTATTTGCAGTTCTGGCTGCTAGGGCTCTTTCAGGGCTATTCACTCTGGTGAACTAATGTTGCATTGGGCACGAATAAAGTTCAGAAGAGCAACATTTTCAATATAAAGATAAAATTAAGAATACAAGGGCATGACCTCAAACTAGAAGGAGGAAAATACAGAACTAATCATAGAAAGTATTATTTCACCTAAAGCGTAGTTGGTGCTTGTAACAGACTTCCAGCAGTGGTAGTGAGTCAGTTAACAGTAAGTGGATTCAAACGTGCTTTGGACAAACAAAGATCTATACTCTGACAAAAAAATATATATAAAAGTAAAATATATATTATAAACAGCAGGAGCAAATTGGATCATGCTTTGCTGGGTTTTTTTGCCTTCCTCTGGATTAACTGTGGGTATAGGATTATAACTTTTTTTTTTAATGGTTGAACTGGATGGGCTTTTGTCTTTTTTCAGCCAGACTAACTATGTAACTATTGAAAACGGAGCTGACTCAAAGGACCACTCCATCTTTTTCAGGTGCAATCACTTTTCTATGTTTTTGGATATAGATGTATGTTAGTGTGTGTATGTTTTTTTAAGTGTTTGTATGTATATGTACTGTGTATATCTGTGTGTGTAAGTACAGTATGTATGTAGCTGAGTCTGTGTATATATATTTATATATATATATATATACACTATAATTCCAAAAGTATTGGACATCTGCCTTTACACACACATGAACTTTAATGGCATCTCAGTCTGTAGGGTTCAATAATGAGTTGGCCCACCCTTTGCAGCTATAACAGCTTCAACTGTTCCAGGAAGGCTGTCAACAAGGTTTAGAAGTGTGTCTATGGGAATGTTTGACCATTCTTCCAGAAGCGCATTTGTGAGGTCAGGCACTGATGTCACGTGAAGGCTTGCTTGCATTCTCCACTTTAAATCATCCCAAAGGTGTTCTATCGGGCTGAGGTCAGGACTCTGTTCAGGCCAGTCAATTTCCTCCACCCCAAGCTCGCTCATCCATATCTTTATGGACCTTGCTTTGTGCATTGGTGCGCTGTCATGTTGGAACAGGAAGGGGCCATCCCCAAACTGTTCCCACAAAGTTGAGAGCATGAAATTGTCAAAAATGTCTTGGTATGCTGACACCTTAAAAGTGCCCTTCACTGGAACTAAGGGGCCAAGCCCAACCCCTGAAAAACAACCCTGCACCATAATCCCCTCTCCACCAAACTTTACACTTGGCACAATGCAGTCAGCCAAGTACCGTTCTCCTGGAAACCGCCAAATTCAAACATATCCATCGGATTGCACTGACCCCACTTTGTCGTTTTACATGGCCTACCACTTTATGGTTGAGTTGCTGTTTTTTCCCAGTTACTTCCACTTTGTTATAATACCACTAACAGTTGACTGTAGAATATTTAGTAGCAAGGAATTGTCACGGTACCACGCTTGAATTCACTGAGCTCCTGAGAGCGACCCATTCTTTCACAAATGTTTTTGTAGAAGAAGTATGCATTCATAAGTGTTTAATTTTATACACCTGTGACCATGGAAATGATTGGAACACCTGAATCCAGTGATTTGGAGGGCTGGCAGAAATAAGTTTAGCAATATAGTGTATATATGTATCTGAGTAAAACAACAACCACTGTATGGGAAGAGCATATAACCACAAATACACATGAACTGTGTATCAATCTATATAAAATATATATGTCCACATGAGTTGGTGACAGTAGAACATACAGTATGCTAAGGAGTCCTGAAATTGCAAAAGCACAAACGAGGTTCTCAGCATGCACAGATGTGTGGCACTTATAGCAACAAATGGCTACACAACGTGGTTGTGGATGTACAGTATGGTGCAAGACAAATGAAATTGCATGGGTAACCAGGTGAAATGTAGTCTATGGGAAAGCCCATCAATTATATGTGAGGTTCCAAAACTATTGTGAAGGGCCCAAAAAACTCAATTGAATTCATATGTTGAACACAAAGCGGATGCTGAAACACTATGTTCTCTTTATTGAGAGTAAAGATAAAAACATTTATGTTGTGCCACTTACATCCAAAAAGTGCAACAAATCCACAGCCCCACATTGCTACTTGTGAAGCCGGTACCATGTGTCGCCTGTGTTCACCAGGTAAGCCAGGTGATGGGAGGATGGATGGACCAGCCAGGACAAAATACCAGTGGTAAATCGTGTATATTCCAAACCAGGAAGAGCTGCTGACCAGACTAGAAATTACATCACAGGAAAAGACATCTCACCAACCAGAATCCAGGGAGCTGAGGACTGTGCTGAAAGGGTGCAAACAATCTCAGTCTTCCCAACAATGTTTTGAGGCTCCACATCTTTGTCAAGGCCTGGTTTGTGGTGCTCAGATGCAGTGTAATTCTGCATTAATTTTAATCCAAATCCTAATCTTTATCAAAGCTCCTAACCCTAATTATTATCCTAATACTAATTGTAATATGAACCTTAATTCTAAGGTTACTCCAAACCCTAATCCTAAAAATAACCCTCACCCTAAACTAACCCTAATTCTAAACTAACCCTAATTCTAATCCTCACCCTAATCCTGATCCTAACGCTAATTGCAAAACTGGCTTAATCCTATCCCCAATCCTAACCATAATCCTAAACTTAACCTTAAGGCAAACCACAGTTGTACTTCTAACCTAGCCCTAATCTTATCCCTAACCCTTGTGGTAATCCTATCCCTAATCCTATACTTAACCCCATTTGTAATCATAACTCTAATTTATATCCTTACCCCTAGTCCTAGCCCTTACCTTAACCCTAACATTAACCTAATCCTAAACCTAACCCTATCACAAATTATAATCCTAAAACTAACCTTAACACTAACTCTAATCTGAATTTTAAACATAATCCTAAAGTTCATCTTTACACGAATTCTCATCCTTAATCTTATCCCCAATTGTAACCCTAAAACTAACCCTTATCCTAACCTTAACTTTCATCCAAACCCTAACTCTAATTGTAATCCTAAACCTATTTCTAACTTTAAAGTTAACCCTAATCATTATCCTAACTCTAATTGTAACCCTAATCCTAGCCCTAATCCTAACACCCAATCCTTATCCTAACCCTATCCCTAATCATATTCCCAACATTAATCTTACACCTAATTCTAAACCTACCCTAATCATAACCCCAACCTAACCCTAAACTTAACACTAACCCTAACCTAAACCTAACCTCAACCCTAACATTAGCCCTTTTTCCTAACTTTAATCCTTAATTTCATCCTAATACTAGCCTTTATTCCAGTATTTCTCAGATCTTTTTTCTGTAAAGGCAACCTTTAAAGTTGTGCACAATTAGGGCACACCAGTCTGAGGGCTCATTCACGCCAGGAGGTGCACTCTTTTATGCATGTTTCTGTGCATTGTGTTTTTAATGGGCTGCTCTATGTTTGTGAAACATTATGGTACCATGAGTTTTAACAGGTGCCATTGCAAAGACATTTTCTAGATGTGTAGAAGTGCCATTAAGAGTTGCAAAGGCAGCACAAAATCCCCCCTCCTAGCACAAATCCCTCCCTTCCAGCCAGGGGTGGACTGACAACTCATAGGGCCCCCGGGCAATAGGGGATCATGGGGCCCCTGTGTCCTTGCCCACACTCAAAGCACACCCAAAAAAGCCTATTAAAAAGGTACCAGGGGCATTTCATGGGGCCCCCTACTGACCCCGGGCCCTCGGGCAGTGCCCGAGTGCTCAAATGGTCAGTCCACCCCTGCTTCCAACATTGATCCCACCTTCCAAGTCCCCCCTCCTAGCACAAATCCCCTCTCTCAAATCCCCCTTCCTAGCACAATCCCTTTACCCAATTCCCCCCACCTAGCACAAAACCTCTCATCCCACCACAGTAGTGACAGTAGCAGAGATGAGGAAAGAGTACAGGCTGTGCTCTCTCCCCCCCCAAGCTCCTCTCCTCTCCTTCTATATACAAGAAATGACACAGGGTTTGACTATCGCCCCTACCCATAATTTGGGTAGGTGGTAATAAAACCCTGTACAGCTTGATCAGAAAGCAAAAGCAGGATGGAAAGCACAGCCCGCATTCAGAATGCTATGTGGATACACGATGTGTCCTTAGCAACTATTTCTGTCATTGGGTGGTAGGATGCAGGCTGCCCGAGCTGTGCGCTCTCCCTCTTGTCTGTATACAGAAGTTAACACAGAGTATCCCAGCTATACACATGCTTTGAAAACACGATTGATCTCCAGTCCCGGAAAGCTTGCAGGGCCTTGAGCTCCGACCTGCAACTTCAACTATTACTAGAAGACTGGGATTACATTTATGAACATATACACAAAGGTTCCACCTGCATCTCCACACAGGAAAACAACTTTAAACTGTACTCCAGATAGTACAAAGTACCTTCCCTGCTTCACAAATTCGATCCTAATGTCTCAGATTCGTGTTGGAGATGTCACCAGGAGATAGGGACACTCTTACATGTATGGTGGGACTGCTCTTTGCTACAACCCTTCTGGAGAAAAGTTCAAACCATAATCACACAAGTGACTACGTACGCTCTAGACCTCTCTCCCGCACAATTCTTGCTCCACCACTCCTCATTCCCTTTTAAGACGTACCGTAAATCGTTGGCCCTGTATATGGTGAACGCAGCAAAACAGTGTATCCCAGTTCATTGGTGCGCCACACATGTCCCTACTATTCGAGAATGGTTTACCAGCATCAACAAAATTGAGGAAATGGAAGAACTGATTTCTGTGGAGCAGGAATGCCCCAAGAGATTCAGGAAAACATGGGGATGTTGGAGTCACTTCAAAACCACCACTACCTACCACACAACACTACATGACCAATCTAGACAGCCAGACTGAATGGTTATACATAATGATGTTTCAGAGAATGCCCAGTCCATTAAGGAGATTTTAGATTTACAATTGGATGGGTTGAAAACTTGTTGCATAACGGGCGTCTGAGTTTTTTTAGCCATATATTGCCCTATTGATTGTCCATATGCATATTATCTGCTAAACTAAATGATGACTTTACCGGCTTGGCTCCTAAATAAGAATATGATCCATTTAACCGCACTTATCTGTCCTTCCATTGCTTCTTCTCCTTCCCCCAAATTCATATTTGGAGGAGGGAAAAGGAGAAGGGAAAGGGGAGGAAAGAGGAGTAAAGGAATAATTTTTTTTCCCCCTCCACCCCCCCCCCCCCCTCCAATTACACCACTTCACATTCCTTTCTCTACCTGTTCTATCCTCTCAGACTTATTTTTATTCTTCCTTTAGTAAATATTCACATCATCCACATTGCCTCAGCAGAATATAGCAGTTACTTCCTTACAGACTCAAATACTTCTAGGTAACACACATTTTCTAATCCGGATACACAACACAGAACACACAACCTCTGCACAGCTACCCTTACCCGACATTTCGTACCCCCTCATCATACAAGCACATTATTACATGGGTCAGTCCCCTTTACTATCTACATTACCTTGTCTAGTATACTCTTCATATCTGCAGATATGTAATATACACCTGTCTTACTGCATTGTTACGCTATGATTGCATTGTAATCTACATGTCTGACCCGTCTGCGATACGGGATGCCGTTTATTGTGTCTATTCTCGGACTGTGATTCCGTAGTTGTATTTGCTTTGCTATGCCTTATTCTTTAATAAAATATTTTTGGAGAAAAAGAAATTAACACCGAGAGCTCTCGGATTGGACTGTACAGAACTGGGGCAGTTTCTTTGTGCTTTTGCCATGGCACCCCAGAGGGCTCTTACTATAATTATAATCCTAACCTCAATCCTAACATTTATTATAACCCTAATCCTAACCTAAAATGTAATTATAACCCTAATTATAATCGTAATTCCAATTTTAACCATAATCCTTAACATATTCATAATCCTAATCTTAACCCTAACTCTAATTGTAATCCTTTTCATATTTCTAACCCTAATCCTAACCTTAATCATCACTATTTCCAAACCAAACCCTAATCCTACCCTTAATCCTTTTCTAACCCTGATCCTAATTATAAACCTCACTCTAAAACTAACCCTAATAATAACTCTATTTCTAATTCTAGCCTTAATCCTAACCATTATCATAACCCTAACCTTAAAACCTTTATCCTAACGCTAATTGTAATCCTAACCCTAACCTTAACTAACTCTAACCTTAACCTCAACACTAATTCTAACTCTAACCCTAGCCTTAAAGTGTTTGCAAAGGTACAATTTTTTTTTTTTTTAAATAACAAACATGTTATACTTACCTGCTCTTTGGAATGGTTTTGCACAGAGCAGCTCCAAACCTCCTCTTCTCAGGTTCCCCCGCCAGTGCTCCTGGCCCCTCCCCAACCGAATGCATGGAGGTAAAAAAATCTTTATCCTTTAGAACCACTTTAAGTCTACCCATAATCTTAAACTTAACATTTATTCTAACCCTAACCCTGTTTTTTGAATAAATCTATTATTTTTTTTTAATGCAAAAAAAAAAGAAGAAAAATACAGATTCCAAGTAAGCTACCCTTTCACATACATTGTGAAATGTTAT